TATGATGGTAAACTAATAAATATCTTGATATAAGCACCATGACATAGTAGCTATACTAGTCATAGGTCAAAGAGATATCCTAGGTATTAGAGACATCTAGTTATTGACCAAAATATAATATATCAGAAATGTCTAAAGAACATTAGAATCATAAAAATATGATGGTAAACCTATGAATACCTTGATAAGCACCATGACATACTAGATAAACTTGTCATAGGTCAAAGAGATGTCCTAATTATTAAAGACATCTAGTTATAGAAAAAAATATATCAGAAATGTCTAAAGAACAGAATCAAAAATATGATGGACTTGATGCAACTCACTATTGTAGATCATTGTACAAGATACTATACTAGATATATATATATCTTAAGAACATTAGAATAATGAAAATATGATGAATTTGATACAACTCACTATTGAACATTATAATAGATACTATACTAGATATATAGGAGTGCTGCTAAATAAAACTATAGAATTGGTGTCAGTAACAACCTTGGGTTTTTAGGGATAAACACAAGCTAGGGTACCCAGCCCCTGGGGCGTGCCCTATTAACCACTTATCAAGGTTTGTTTCTGTCAATAATGTGTATTAAAGATATTGGCACTATATTGGATATCTGAGCAGTTCCTGTACATAATTCAGTCAGTTAAGGCTAAAAAAAAAAGAAATCAAACTCTCTAAGAGTTTATCTGATAATGAATGAAGCACATGTTTTAACAAAGTAAAAACATATTTTGAGCATGCTGCCTTTATCCAACATCTTGTTCAAAAGTCAAAGCATACCATTCAAACCATTTTGATTGACAGTAGAAAAATGAATGAAATATGAGAATGAATGGAATATGAAAATGAATGGAACATGGATTAAGGATAAAGGAACATGATCACTTCAGAACATATAGAAAATACTTTTATGAGTGAGTTTCAGGTATTGGCCAGTTTGCATTGTTTTTATTGCATTACTGCTGTCATCTTATAGAATGTGTGAGTGAAGCATTTGCTAACTCTATAGTATGGTCATTCTAGCCCCTGTTGCCCTCTGAATTTTTATATTTAGTTTAATCATTTTAGTGACCCTTTATACCAGGGCTTCATGATGTAAACAGCTATTACATAGTCTTGGGTAGTTTCACAGTATGCAGAGACAAGATAAAAGTAATCCCTGTTACCCCTCTCCAGGGGATAAAAATGACATCTTGAAGAAATGACAACACAACAGCACAGTGACCTAGAGATATTTCAAGGTATGCTGAGGAAATACTAATGTAATCCTAGACAACCCAATACTCCACCAATACGCAGCCCAGTTGGCAAGAGATCTTCCAAGGTATCTGTGAAATAAGAACATAAAGCATGAAGATAGTCAGACAGACGCCATTATTGTAAAACTATTAAACAAGCAATCCTACATGGTATATCATGTTGCAAGACGACGGTACAGAGAAAAGACTGTATTAGTCCCAGGTGCTGGGAGGAAAATAAAGCACTAAGACAGTCAGTGAGACACTATGATTGTAAGCCTATTAAACAAGCAAACTTCCATTGCGTATCATGATGCAAGACGACAGTACAGAGAGAAGAATGGTTCCAGACACTGCAAAGAAATTAAAGCATGACGATAGTCAGTGAGACACTATGATTGTAAGCCCATTGAACAAGCCATCTTCCATGGTGTATCATGTTGCAAGATGACAGTACAAAGAAAAGACTATTAGTTCCAGGTGCATGATGATAGTCAGTCAGCCACTATGATTGTAAGCCCATTGAACAAGCCATCTTCCATGGTGTATCATGTTGCAAGACGACAGTACAGAGAAA